TATTGCAAGGAAATTTTGTAAAAAATCATGTGATCATGAACGGTTGGAAGGAAATTATGTTTTTTGAAAGTGGAAGCACTGAAATAATGAGTACCAAATACTTGCAAATTCTGCTTTGTAAAATTTGTAGCTACTTGCAGTTCGTCACACATGCAGTGTTTGTAATTCGACTGACCCTATATAGTAGTTTTTCATCTCCATAATCGTTCAGAATATGCCTGAAGACAAGAACAAGTATTATCATGCACACTCTGGAAACTGTTTGATCCTGAAATGAGGCGCGCTTTCCTGGGGCGTTTCCATTTAATGGTCTGACCCGAATTTTTTTCTCTGTATCAATGTACTCAGGCGAATATGATGCTTGAATATGACGACTGTTCTGACCGGTTTGGCTGTGTTAATGAAAGCGCCCCTGGTCCCTTAACCGTGACAAGAGGAGGGGCCTTGTCCTTTCGAGTATATAAAACTTTCTTTAGCGTACATGTTTATATGGACACGTATTGTTGTTATAATTGTATACGTGTTAATTTGCACTCAAGCAAGTCTTTCAAAAAATAATAAGCTGAAAAGCAGGCTAGAGTGCATCCGCTATGGCCTATGCATAAGTGAAGCCATTGGCGGCCACGGTGGTGACCATCACGAATCGACGGTGGCATTGCTGACAATTACGCATTTTCCACTACGCAAATTTGTTCGCGTGAACAGTAAAAAATTAAGAACTGCTGCAACATTTTCGCGGCGAATTTTTGCGCTGACCAATCACATTGCCAAGATTTGTTTTTTGTTTTCCGGCGCACTTAAGCGATAAACAAGCTTAAGACTCAAGGTACCCTTATAATATTCATTCAGTAACCTGAAACTACGAGTTAGGATAAGAAGGAACACAATGGCATATATTATGGTACTTTAGTTCAGTACTAAAATGAACAATAAAGTGCTAAAATCTTGAATTTTCTCGCTATAATACAATTACTATACTTAAAAACTTATTCTTTACGTTTTGAGGCACGTATGAACGTATACACAGTCAAAACCAGTCCAATCAATTCCATCCAAATAATATTCAATACCGAACACAACGATTGTTCCTCGTGATCATCAGGCATCCCCATTCCTTCACCGCCATCCATAAATGTTCGTTCTATTGCGGAACTTCGCTGACTAGTTCCACCGCAGTCGTCATCGTAGCTCTCCAGCAGTCCTTCAACATCCTCGGGATCGGCGAATTTTATTTCCTCCTCTTTCATTCGTTCCCATCTCATGCGGCAATCCGAGAGGGTCTCCTCTGTAGTTTCTCTCGATTCCCGTAGTTCGTCTAGTTTTTGTCTTAATTCTTCGGTACGTTTGCTAGAATCAGCCTCGCTTGATGTTCCCATTGTTCAAAAATCTATTTGTTCGGCAAATTGTAGGATCGTAAATTAAAACGTTTTGCAAGGCAATCTCCACGAGAATATGGAATTTTGAGGTATATATTCTTTGTGGAGTGTAATCAGTTTCAAAATCCACAATTCCGTAAGTTGGATAATGCACTGAAAAGAAAATATTTCAAATTCTACAACGCTAATTCCAGTTTTCTCTCGAAGTTCAACACTGTAAAAAGTATTAATATACCTCAAAACACGAATCAGTTCTGTTCAACTACACGTAAAGACGTTTAAAAATTTGGTTACAGAAGGCAGAAGTTCGTCTTGTATACACGCGGCATATAATTATGCAAGATTTTATCTTTTAGTTATCATTAAAAAATTTACAACCAATCTGCGGCAGTCCGTAGTTCTTTGCAAAATCTAGCACAATACCGTATTTTTCAGTCAAGCACACAAATGTTCTGGATCGATACCTTTAAAAACCCATGAAACTACAGATTTGAAACAAACCATGAACAAGATCAGATTTCAGTACGAGATTTGTCCAAATAGAGTACACCTCGGCAATTGTGGCAATACTTAACCAAACATTAAAGTACATACAAAATGCCAAAACTTGGATCACCGACAAACACACGGCAGTAAATATTTCAATAGTTCTTTGCACTGACCTATCCACTATATGGAAAATACGGTATACTCCGGGGAGGATAACCTGCCAACGGACGCGACTTTTGCAAAACCGCGGAATAGATTACAGGTATTAGGAAACATCAATATTTGGTCTATTGCAACATGTCATATAACGAGTTTTTGTAAAATCCAGCTAATAAAAGTACAAAAAGTTCAAATGGTTTCCCTTAATAAGACGTAACAAGCAATTTGGAAATTTGTACAGCATTAATTATCGTTTTGACAATACTATCTCATGACATATTTATGAGAGAACCTGCTCTTCCATGCAAACTGCATTTCTCAAATTTGATATCCGGATTCAAAACCAGACTATAAATATTAATCAAAAACTTAACGCTGACATTAGTGTACATCAATCACAGAACATTGTGCCTAAAATTTTGCACAATTATTTATATTTTGCCGATGTAATATTCTCGCATTTAATATTTATCATCTATTGACCTGGAGCGTGCATGGCGATTCGGCGAATTATTGCTTGAATTGACGATATTTCCCGAGGGCAAAGACCCACTAATTTGATACTAAGTTAATGCTAAAATGCTACATTAATGCTTTATTTTTCTATTTAAGTAAATTTTTGTCGCTTTCCTTTTAGAAATATTTGAGTGCAGCTGTAGTATATATCCTTTGGATCAGTGAGGCAGTGGCGAAGCTAGCCCGACAATTTGATTATGCTATGCAAATATTTCTGTGTTCATGCATAAGACCGTAAAAACAGTCATTTTCTAAGGGCCTGTTCATATGGGCAAAAGTTATCCCAGTCAGCGAGAAAACGTTTTCGACAAGTTTACAGTACAAGCGAGACCTCGCCTTGGAATGAAAATAATATGAAAAGTTACACTGCGTTCATATGAGACGAAACGTTTTCCCGTGTACCGAGATCTCGCCTGTTGACAGGCGAGATCTCGGTGACCGGGATAATGTTTCTCCCATATGAACACAATTTTCCCGCTTAGCGGGATAACTTTCTGTCGTATCAGCAACTTTTCAATTCAATTGATGTTATCTATATATTACCGATATTTAAACTTGATCTATATAGAGGAGCCTGCGGAGGAGGCAGCTACGTCACAGTCAGAAACTTTACCCGGTAAGATAACGTTTCTCCATATGAACAGAACAAAAGTATTTGGCTAGTCGAAAAGTTTTCTCGTTAACCGGGATAATTTTTGCCCATATGAACAGGCCCTAAAGAAATAAATAATGATGATGATTTAAAATGTGCATATATCATAACCAAGTTGTCGGATTGGCTTCGAATTCGCCACTGCCATGAAGATGACAAAATTCCCATTCACGTCAAAATTTTCAATAAAAATCTTCGACAAAACAATAAAAACTCATCAGTCTTGATGTTGTCAGCCATCTCGTATACGAGTGATCGCCACTGATTTTTGCGAATCATATCACCCGCGGATGATATAATTAATCAAATCATTCTGGTAATATGATCGAAATCACTCTGCATTTAATACGACGCATGGGGGTGATTCGATGATAAAATTCATGCTCACGTGCATGGTACATGTACCCTATAGCTTTCTAGTTGGACAATTTGAATAGAACATATTAAAATAAAGTATATAAGAGAATAAAATTACTAAAAGCTTATAAATACAGTTTTGTCCAGGACTATTTCGAGAGCTGTAATACAAATTGTTTACTTTCGTTGTTTGTTTGATTTTGTCATTTTTGTCAAACGTAATTGCAAACAGAATTGTTAAGGATTAGCGCTAGCATTATTGGAAGTTGTTATACGGACGTAAATCGCAAACGATCGTTTACCTGACAATCAAATAAATTTCAATAAATTTTCGAAAACGTTCTCGACAATGTTAAAATCATAAGGTAGAATGCAGGAAGTCTAAAATCAATATAGAGTAGAAATATTTACTTAACACCAACCATACAGACAACTTCCTGAATAACATTTCGTATACTGTAAACCTTGGTAAACGATAAACGATAAACATTGATATCGAAAGAACCAGGCTTTTAGCCAGGGTGCTGAAGAGGGCGTCCAATTTTGGTATAACGATACATCTACAGTAAAGAGGGGGGAGGGTGGGTTCGAGAAAACGTTCCTCTGGAAAACCTTTGAAATTACGTTACTTCATGTCAGTATCTGTTCCAAGCTCATTCGAAATTTTTCAAACACACTTGGCTTTGTGAGTTTGTGCCGCTATGCTTCTTTACTTAACTACGACATTTTCATTCAGCCAGGTACACCATGAAATTGATCAAAATGTCAATTGTATAATAATAATGAGAATTGAATGTATTTTGTTTCGGATATATTAATATACTTGGGGAAATCATTGAAATAATTTTTCTTTCCCCCCAGAATTTGGGCGTCCTTTCCTAAAAGCCTGGAAAGAACCGTAGATTGAGTTCCGAAATATGACCCACTGTATACTCGAACTGACTTGAACTCGTATATAGATCAATTTAGTAAGCAACCAAGAGACGCGGGTTCAATTCGCAGCGTAGTCTTTCAAACAAACATTTCAGCTTGCCAATGCGGACACACTCAGAGTAACATGATCTCAAACCTAAAATTCTTCTATGCGCTGTAATGACTGTAGGGAAGAAAAAAAAATTAGTCTGAATTTTTATACTCACCACCTCACCTTTGCAACAACTAGAACATTCTCTCAGCTAGGATAACACGACCTACACAAACAATCAGAAATAGACTCAGGTTAGCTCAAACTGTCAAGGACCAAAGAGGCTAAACCCTGTCTACACGATACGATTAGTCGTATACGATTCTTATTCTGGCGTATGTGATACAACGAATACGCCTAAAGAAATTTAGCCATCAACTAAATGTAGAGGATTTGTGGCGTCAGCAATAATTTTCATACGCGAGAATGACAATCGTATACGATTAATCGTATTGAGTGGACTGGCCTTAAAATATTCTAAGTTAACCTACCATCAGAAATTTCTATATAAAACGAGAAAAATAATATACAATATTTAATGTTTTCACTTTTTACGACTATAACCAAAAGAAAAATGTTAAAATAAGCTGTCTATTTAGTATTTAGCTAAAAACACTCCTAAAGAAGTAAAAAAGTCTATATTAAGTTGCCAAGCTAAAAAAAGACAAAACAAAAGTATGTGGTTATTTTATGCTTTCACAAACGAGATCCTAATTTGTCTTAAATATTAAATAGCAATCACCAAGACAAAAAACATTTCACCCTTTCCTAAACAATGAAAACAGAGAAAATCTATTCTTTTTGAAATTTTAAAATAGTTAAGGTAGATTCTACTACATATGATATGTGGTAAATCCTGAAAAAATTGGTGGACATAAAACTTGACACCACAGGTTTTATTAAACACACTAAAAAACAGCAAATCCTACAAATTTTCTACAATATCGTACAACTATTACATTATATACAATACTAATCACATCACTCAATAAAATTACTCTACCAAACAACAAACAGCACAACATTGCTTAAAAATCCACTCTAAAACTACACAAGCTCACTTTCACTAAATATATTAACCTTTATAGTTCTTTTGTTACTAAAATTCTGTTAGATCTTGGGGGCAGAATGGCAGGATCAGATTCATGTTGACTGTCACAATCAGAAGCCATGGTAAATTGACAAGCGATCTTCTAGCAATCCACCTGGATGACAGTACATTCTGGGGTATCGACATGGAACACTAAAGGGAAAAATAAATCAGAACATTAGTTGATAGAGCATTTTACTACTGTATCTTGGCTGGATATCTGGTTGAAAAATATCCTGCTGGATTATCTGGCAAAACATATAAGATTCAGGCCTAATCATTCAAGGTTAAATAATTATTTTCAATGGTTATAAAGTAATGGTATTTATAAAAAATTGACTTGAAAAGATAGGAAAGAACTTCAGTCTTCACAGTTGAACATTGATAAACCCACTTTCTGGCATTTGCAAGCAAGCATGAAAAATCTTGAAAATATTGCAAACTTCTCTACAATCATTTCAAGCCAAAATATAATAAACACTTGTACTTTTTAAACCGTAGTACATGTACATCATTAAATGAAGGCATGGAACTTAAATAAACAATATTAAGCTAGACCCTACTTGACCTTAGCTAGACTGCATATGGAGGTACTGTAAAAGGCCCTCAATTTCAAAAATGCACCAACCTTTTTAATGAACCTACTCAATTTTAGACTCTCACTCTAAAGTAGGGGTGCATTAAGGTGGGGGCCCAGGGCAATTTGCCCCCTGCCCCCCCCCCCCCC